TCGCGTATACTTTGTAACACTGATTCACTAAATTAGTTAAGAGATTATACAAGGCTAGAATCGATATGTTCTGACATTGTGTACACACGCTCAGAAATTTACTAAGTAAACGTCAATATGTTAAAAAATATGCAACAATTAGTTATCAAATAATCATGTAGTTATTAATTTATGACAATTTAAAGGTAACTGTTAAAATAATGAAGTCCTTTGTGAGAGACAAAATATTTTTATAATAAAAGTAGTATTTTTATTATAATAAAGGCACTTAAATCTTATTTATCTCCATAATATGTCCAATTACCTTCAACAAGAAATACAATTAATTGTCAATTTGATACATACTTTTTTACGGCACTCATTGTCATAATTAAATATAATTATGTGTACTATATACATACGTACTGTAATAATAAGATAGAAGAGAACAGAATATTCGGAAAAAATCGATGGTGATCACGAAAACACGGCTAATTAGATGATTGGTCGAATCATTTCGACAGATTCTAAAACTGAATCAGCACGCCCCGACTCCACGCAATCTTGTCTGCCATACTTCTAGATTGTTTTTGTAAATCCGTAGGCGCGGAGGGAGAGCAGCTCCCGCCCGCCGTTATATACTCTACATAGTACATTTTCTTTTATTTTTATCATGGAATTATCAGCCGAACGGGAAGTAATTATAAGCTTATATATTATAATATTAGTGTTATTTTGTATTACAAATTTCTTATAAGAATGTAGTGAAAAACTTGGGAATCTTGATATATTCTAGCCTTTCTTGGTCTCCTCAAATCAACGCAGTGTCTCGTAAAATGTTTGTAGCTTATGGTTCACTCCGAAGAATGAATTACTTCTTACCCATCTCCACCAAAAATTTGCTTGCCCAATCTTTACTGCTCCCAATTCTCGATTACGCTGACATAAGCTATCTGGACAACATTACCGAAGAGCAATTTAACAAACTTGAGCGACTCCAAAATCTATGTATAAGGTTCATATTTGGACTTCGTAAATATGACCATGTATCAGAATACCGCGCTAAGCTCAAGTGGCTTCCAATCCGTCTTCGTCGGAACACTCATATACTTTCTGCTCTCTGTTGCGTTTTATTGCATATATCAAGTCCTCCCTACCTCAAAGAACGTTTCCAATTTCTCAGTTCCTCTTATAAACTTTCCCTTCGGTCCTTAGAAAATCTTTCCCCTCTATGTCCCTTGCACTCTTCTACATTTTACAGTAAATCTTTTCCAGTTCTTGGAGTGAAGTTTTGGAATTCCTTACCATCAACTATAAAACGTGCTCAACAATGAGCTCCTTTACAAACCAAGTTAAAAAAACATTATCTTTCCTTCTAAATTATCCCTCCTCCTTTTATCTATTCCTGTCGTTTTATGATCACTAGTCTGTCAATTAAGTAAATTCTGGCATGTTTATTAATTTATTTTTATATTTGTAGATTATAATATTATTTATAGTGCACTCTACCCATAATTTACCTTTCCCCTTATTTTTATTTCCTATTTAGGTTATCTGGAAGAAATTGCTGCATAGCAACAAGACCGCCTTTTGTTTTTCTCTTTGTTTGTTTCTTGTTATGTTGTTTTCTTAGTGTTCAATAAAGGGTATTGTATTGTATTGTATACTATCTACACACATTAATAACATAAACTCTATCACATTTATGCTCCATTTATGTTTTTAACTAGTTCAGTATGTTTTTCGCTCAAATTTTACGCGTACCTTATTAGAAAGTATACGTGATAAAGGCATAATAAATATGTATAGTTTCTAAAAATAGTTATTCTCGTAACAAATTGAAACTATACGCAATCAGTCCCGATCTGTGCGAACGCGTTGTTGTATACTTTAAACATACGCGGCGGACAGCATTATCAAAGCAAGGTACTTGCTACTGCGTTCGTCAATCCATTTGCCAAGCGTTACTATTAAGGTACATTCTCCTTACAAGAGGCACTACGCGTCAAACGTCCCGATCTGGATGCTTGGCGGTCCACCACTGTACGTTTCAAGAGGAGTTTTCTTCCGCGAATAACCTCTCTGTGGAATAGTTTACCACCAGCGATTTTTCCGGACCGATACGACCTGGGGACCTTCAAGAAAAGAGCGTACTCCTTTCTAAAGGGCCGGCAACGCACCTGCAATTCCCCTGGTGTTGCGGTTGATCATGGGTGGCGGTAGTCACTTAACATCACGTGAACCGCATGCTCGTTTGCCCCCTCTTCTATAAAAAAAGGTTGAATAAAATAAACTAAAAAAATAGGAAAATAAAAAAGAACACGAAGGTGTTTGTTACCTCGCAGACAGATCTGCGGACTGAATGTGCCCTCTTGACATCGTCGAGTAGGATTTTTCAGAGGATTGCACTGTAAAAAGCAGTTAAAAATCCAGTGTTATGTTTTTTTAACGAATATTAAAAGCGTAAGTTGAAAGCCAATGTTTCTTTTTCTCCATACATTAGGCCAGCCTCTATATTCTGTTTTAATGTGCATAGTTAAACTTTAAAAAAATTAAAACTGACTCCAAAACAAAAAAGTGTGACAAACGAGCACACAAGAGTCCACCTGATGGTATGCTAAGATGTTTTTAAACTTATAGATAAGTCGTAGAATGGCAATACGAAAGTTAGGTAATTGCCTGATTCGCAATCATTCGCGCACGCTCTCGCGTCGCGGCTATACTTCGCTACAGCGCGTAAATCTTCGAGTTATTCGTGGCAAAAATGCCTTCCTGTGTTTTAAGATGGTGCACAAATTATACGGCAACTGTTAGAGACAAGAAAAACGTCTCATTTCACGCGTAAGTACAGTTTTTTTTTTTAATTAAAACGTTAGATGTAATTTCGTTTTACTGTTGTTTAATACGTGTAAAGTAAAGAGCGAGATGTAATCTGTGCATGTGAGTAAAAGAGAATGTTATCCTCCGTATCGGCAAGTCACGCGCTAGCGCCAATGAGCGCTCGCTCAGTAGCAATCAATACGTAACTAATAATGTATATTCATCTTTTTCTAACGATATCTATGCCCTATTATTTGTCTCTTTAAGGTGAAATGTCTCGAAAAGGTTCCCCGGTTCTCTACACTCACCTTAAGAAACACAGCATAATTAAGCTGCTAGTAAAGTATGATGTTCAGTGAAAACCATAGTAAGCATTTTTTTAGCTGAAAGCTTTGTAGACTTTTGTTTACAATATACAGTGCCAGTGCATCGACAGTTGACATGAACATGGAGTTTGATGAAAACTCGAATATCGGCGAATTGTTCGCTACACGCTTCAACAACGCGTTGAAATTGTTAAAATTTATTACTAAAATCATTTCTCTATTCACCTAACGTTCCGTGCGTTGGTCCGTGAGTAGAAATGGTTAATGGTTAATGTAAGTGAATTTGACTGTACCTTAAAATATTTGGAACAAAAAATAATATTTGTGTGGATTGTAATATGTAGTACAATTTAAGACACGAATATAACGACTTTAACAACTGTTTGAACTTTTAAATAACTCGTAGTAACTAATGACTTAATATTGTTAAATCTTCCCAAACTAAAATACATTTGTTATCAGTGTAATAATAACGTCGCTGCCTGTGCTGCGTTCAAACGCCCGAGTCATACTTTATGTTACTCTTAACGAACTATATCAAAATGGTAAGGAAATGTGTGAAGTGTGATAAAATAATCAATCACAGGTAATGTTTCAATTGTTTAAAGTTTCACCACTTAAACTGTGCAAACGTAACAGAAAAAATATTTAACTCAATGAAAGAGAAGAAAAGCAACAAATGACTATGCCATTTATGGCATTCATTGCCGTCCTCCAGATTCCACAATCCGTCCTTTAATGGATAAATTTGCTACAACCGGGTCGGTGATCGACGAAACAGCGCCTGGCGTCAAAAAACGCAAGATCATTGGAGAATAATGTTGCCGTTCGGGACAGTGTGCGAGGAAACCCCCAAAACAGACCAATGTGCGTCATGCGCAGGAGCTGGGTCTTTCCATGACATCAACTTGGTGGATTTGGCATCGAAACTTAAGTATTCATCCACACAAAGTTCAAGTAACTCAAGAGCTAAAACTCAACGACTACAGACAGCGCTGTGTATTCATTGATTGGGCTTTAGAGCATTTGGCGGCTGACCCTGCTTTCGGTAAAAAAATCATCTTCAGTGATGAGGCTCATTTCTGGTTGAGTGGCTTTGTAAACAAACAAAATCGCCGGATTCAGAGCGACGGAAATCCACGGCAGATTCATCAAGTGCCTCTACACTGTGAAAAAGTCTCTGTTTAATATGGATTTTAGTCCTGCGGTATCATCCGTCCTTATTTCTTCAAAGATGTGCAAGGGGCCGCGCTTACTGACCACCACACGTGAAATCTCTGGTCTATACATACAAAATACTGACAATTGCCGCTCTAAAGGCCAACATAACTCGTGTTCTTCATGAAATTAAGCCCCATTATGTTAAAATATCGTGAAAAATTGGTGTATCAGTATATACCACCTACAGCAGAGTCGCGGCGGTCATTTGGCTGTAATTATGTTCCATATACAATGTCATCGAATTTTCTTTAAAATAAAATAATAATTGTGGTAATATCACTTACACAAGTTGTGTTTTTCATTTCAAAGTTCGAGCGCTCTTAATAAAAAAAAGGTATTTTCTCATTGCTTTATACAGGCAAAAATACAACCGTACGACACCAAAGGAAGAAAAAAACTATTGACATTTGATCAATTTGATATTGATAGATTTGATTCTTTGACAGATATTTTTCTATTTTAATATTCGTTTCGTAGTCGCTAGTCGCTACCTAGAGCTAGAGTAAAATGTAAACAATGCTATCTATTATTTTGAAACAATGTTTTCTAGTTTCAAAGATTGTGGCTGCTCTAACAAACATTTTAATTATTTTTCTAGAATTTAATAACTCTAAGTAAAATTGATCGAAAAGCTGCGAATATTGTTATGCAAATATGAAAAGTATACACGTTTTGTTTACTGTGGTGTTTTTTGTTTGTTTACTTAATAAAGTGAAGCTTTTAGATAATGGATTGGCTAGGAAGCCGCCGATGGGGTGGATGTCGTGGGGTTATTATGAGTGCGCTGTCAATTGCGATGAAAATCCCGAAAAATGTCTTGAGTAAGTTGTTTACTTCATCAACCTAATTTACCTATTTTTATATGTTAGAAAGGGAACTTTGTAATCAGTAACAACAGTTTTCGTTTCTAAAACTTTCGTATATTTAGCTAAAGAGGCTTCTTTCGTTTAGTAAAATATGTTTTAGTCAAATTAAAAGTAGCGTACTTAAGAAACAACAATAAAATTATGTAAATGTTGCGTAGTAATTTATAATTAAATATTTAAGTTGTATACGCCAATACATTTCCTGTAATTAATCGGATTGTTTTACAACTGGTGATTTAATTATGAAACACTCATAAAATAGTTTACTTTGTATATAGTTTTCTGTTTTTGTTTATTCAAGAGAAATTTATATCTCTGTAATTATTGAAAAAGTAAAAACAGTAGTGCATATCTAAAATAAATTTAATATAGTAGTATTGTGTGTGGTAAATTTAATATAGTAGTAATTAGTGATGTGGAGTGGGATGACCATTGCGAAGGTATTAGTTCTGCATTAACCAACCTGATTGTCCAAAGTAATGAGTGTGGGCATAGCAAAGTTACACAACATGCCAGTTGGCAAATAAAGAAAAGCTGATAAGAAAACAGTATGGTGTTAAGAGTGTAGACATTTTAAAATTTATAGTTAATATTATAATGATAAACTATGTATTGAAATCAATTGATACATTAATGTATCATTCATAAAAATCAAATATTTTTAGTCAATATTATCAGTAGCTGTTTGGTGATAAGAGTTTAAGAGTGTAGACACTTAAATTTATAGTTTTAGAATCATAAACTATGTATTGAAATCAATTGATACATTAATGTATCATTGTTAAAAATCATATATTTTTAGTCAATATTATCAGTAGCTGTTTGGTGATAGCAGTTTAAGAGTGTAGACACTTTCAAATTTATAGTTTTAGAATCATAAACTATGTATTGAAATCAATTGATATATTAATGTGTCATTCATAAAAATCATATATTTTTTGTCAATATTGTCAGTAGCTGTTTGGTGCTAACAGTTTAAGGGTGTAGACACTTTTAAATTTATAGTTTTAGAATCATAAACTATGTATGAAATCAATTGATATATTAATGTATCATTCATAAAAATCATATATTTTTTGTCAATATTATCAGTAGCTGTTTGGTGATAACAGTTTAAGGGTGTAGACACTTTTAAATTTATAGTTTTAGAATCATAAACTATGTATGAAATCAATTGATATATTAATGTATCATTCATAAAAATCATGTATTTTTAGTCAATATTATTAGTAGCTGTTTGGTGATAACAGTTTAAGAGTGTAGATACTTTTAAATTTATAGTTTTAGAATCATAAACTATGTATGAAATCAATTGATACATTAATGTATCATTCATAAAAATCATGTATTTTTAGTCAATATTATCAATAGCTGTTTGGTGATAACAGTTTAAGAGTGTAGACACTTTTAAATTTATAGTTTTAGAATCATAAACTATGTATTGAAATCATTTGAAACATAAATGTGTTATTTATAAAAATTATATATTTTAGTGAATATCTAATATTATCAGTAGCTGATACAATCTACAATGAAGGTTACCAAGAAGCAGGCTTTGAGTATATAATAATAGATGATTGCTGGGCTGAGCATGAAAGAGACAGCAAGGGTAGGTTGGTTGCAGATAAAAGCAGGTTTCCGCATGGGATGAAGTATATATCTGATTATGTTAGTATGTAATTACAAATTTGTTAACATACCTATTTGTTATTTGAACTTTTACACAAATCTGCATTATCATCATCAGGGGGTGTCCATTAATTATGTGAGGTTCTTAAGGGATTGGGCGAGGGGGTCGACCCGAATCTCACCATTGTCACTTAGGGTAGGGGGAGAGTCTCGGCAAATATTACATAATGCAAATATATTTTCTCCGCAAGAAACAAAGTAAAATTTGGAAAATGTGGGTTAAATTAAGTAAAATGAGGCTAACTCCTACACAGTAATCATGTTTATGTGAAATACACTAATAATATAATTTTTTTTAAATAAGCTTAACAAAATCATGCACAGATTACTGTATTTACACTAAAGATATGCATTTTGAAAAATCTCTCGGTAGATTTGGAAGTGAGGGCGTTGTGCCATAATTCACAACATCTCACCAGGCAGAGGGTATAAAAATCGCCAAATTCGTTACACGTAATTAATAGACGCCCGTCATTACAGCTCATCACAAGCATAAGAGGTTTTTGTTTAGCGATCCCACAAAATTTGGTTCTGAACCATCTTTAACTCCATCATGTTACATCAGGTCATCACTCCATGTAGTTTGGGGTTGGCTACATGTCTAACTTTCAAAACCATCAGTAATTAAAAATCCACTGCCTTTTTATAGAATAAGGGTGACAAACAAGCACACTGTCTACCCGATGGTAAGCAGATGCTGTGGCCTGAAGACACCTACATCTAACCTCAATTAAAAATCAAAATGCGGTTGTGTAGTCAATCTTTATTCTTCTTTGATTAAGATGGAGTGCCTCATTTCTAGTAAAAAGGTCCCTGGTTCTCTACACTCACACCGTACGAAAAACTTTAAACTACCATTTTATGCTGGTACTGTATTATGCTGGTATTATGTGAAAGCGTGGTCCTTCCCTGTTCGAGCTGACCCATTCATTCTTTAACCATAATATAGCTGTAGCATCACTCTACCTTAATCAAACTGAACAGGGGTTTGCCAGGTTGAAAAGAAATTTTCTTTTTATTGTTACTGTTTGCATTATTCTAATTTTTTTTAGATTGGTATAGATTATTTGACTTTATACATTATAATGTATTATGATAGCTTAGAAATGAGTAACAGGCGCTGAGAGCAGTTTGAATCCCAATGACCAAGTATTGTTATGGCGTATATATAATTGTTCTGGGTCTGGATGTTTTTCCTTATGAAATTTGTGTATGTGAACTGGGTAATGTATTAAAAAAGAAAGAAAGAAATGAAAAAACTGTGGGCATAAAAAAGAAATAAAAATCTATATCACCACATTTCATCAGATAACATTACAAAAATGATTTTAGATTCACGCCAGAGGCTTAAAGTTTGGCATGTATACTAATGTAGCTGAAGTGACTTGTATGTTTTATCCCGGATCAAGAGGATTTTTCGGTATTGACGCTATGACCTTCGCTGAATGGGGAATAGATTATCTCAAAGTTGATGGATGTTATGTGGGGGAAAGCATTTTAAACACTGGTAAGATTTGTCTTTTTAACTGACTTCAAAAAGGAGGAGGTACTCAATTCAACTGTTTTATTTATGTGTCTCGTAACTTTTTCTGTGTGAACCGATTTTGATAATTCTTTTTTTTATTAAAGCTTATGCTTCTTGTGTGGTCTCTTATATATTTTATCAAGATCTGACCAGTAGTTTTTGAGTTATTTATTTATTTATTTGTTGTTCAAGGGACACATACAGTACAATAAAAAATACATTATAAAACATATAAAAGTAATCCTAAAACCACAGATATCTAATAAATATTAAAAGCTTGCAACCACAATATGTTTAAAAAGATTTAAAAAAAATAACTCAGTGGTATTTATAATTAAACATTAAGTACTAAGCAGTTAAAAGTAATACAATACATACAACCTATAGTGAAGCTACCAATTATAAATTAAGTTTTACAATATCTTTTTTATAACTATTATATTTAAGGTGAAAAATATCTTGTTCGCAATATTTTAAGTTAAATTTTTACACGTACGAGATACAAAATTATTTGAAGCATACTTCGTTTAAACTTTACATATTGCAAAAAGACGTTTATTTCGTTCACCTAACCGGTGACCACCCTCTCACATATGACAAGCCAACCCATTTAATAATGAAGCTGCAGTGTGGCTGTACGTGTGTTTGTCACTGAACTCCTCTTATAAAGTTATTTATCCTTTATTGCAACTCACCTTCAACTAGGGTAGGGTCGACTTAATGCCCTATGGCATTCTCTACCAGTCAACACTATGTTGGTGACATTTTTTGGAAATCACCCGCTTAGATATAAGAGGTTGCTTGTCTCTTATAAATACTGCTTATGTGTTGGTATGTAAGAATCAATTTCAAAGTGACGGTCGTCACCTGACTAAATTGAGCAGCTCAGGAAGGTCTAATAATAACTCAAAATAATAAAACACTGCGGTTGGCAACCCGCCGGCCAAGTGTGGCAAGTAATATTAGTAGTGTCCTCTGCCAGCCGCAATAATCAGTCACCAGTAGCCATCTGGGCAGGACGGGCTTATAGTGTCCAAGTGTATGCTCACGTACTACGTGTTCATTTCGAAATTGCCGTCGTTGACTGTTATGACGTCACAGCTGACGGTACCGTAGACAAAACTATTACTGTGTTTTAATTGTAAGAAGTTTGATTTTTAGTTTGTTGCCTTGTACAGAGAAATGGAGGACAAGCAAGTAGTAAAATACATATTATTAATTTATTTATTTACTTAATTATTTACGTATGGTAGTGAAAGTTGGGTGTGGCAGAAGAAGCACGAGAGTAGAATGAACGCAGTAGAAATGCGGTAGTTAAGGAGAATGTTAGGGCTGAATCTGAATGACAGGGTGAGAAATTGTGTGATAAGAGAAGAGTGTAGTTTGCAAGATGATGTTGTGACGAGGATTAAGAAAGGAATGCTTCGGTGGTTTGGTCATGTGGAAAGAATGAATGAGGAAAGAGTGACAAAGAAAATTTATGTTGCAGAAGTGAATGGCAGAGTCGGAAAGGGACGTCCTAGGCGAAAATTTATCGACCAAATTGACGATTTATTGGAAACGGGCCAAATTAGGAGTGCCCTTAACCGACGAGCATGTATGCGTTGGTATATGGATGTGAAGGAGGCGAGAGAGGTGTGTCAGGATCGTGCCAAATGGAAGTCTGTAGTCTCTGCCTACCCCTCTGGCTGAAAGGCGTGAGTGTTTATGTTTATTATGTTTATTTAGGTACGATAAGGGTGACGCTTGAGGCGCGGTATGAGGAAGCGCGGCGGGAGGTAACGGCATTCATAAAATGAACACGTAGTACAAGTGCACTCCTTCCCCCACTCTTACAGTCCGATGAGACGGTAATCCGACACGTTCGGAGAGAAATCAGGCGCAGTACCGGATAATTCTGGGCTGCTAATGAGAATTTCTTGACAGAAAAATCCAATAACTGATTTTGACCCAACCTGGGACTCAAACCCAAGACCACATAATCAATAGTCATAAACATGACTGCTGATCATATGATCCAAGGAACTGGATATGGGCCTCAAATTGACAGAGGCAGTTAAACTTCGTTGGTCTAGTCATTGTAAATGCGACTATGGCATGGCAACATAGCATGGCAAGGCAATCTAGGTGAGAGGCATATGTTGAGCAGTGAACTTTTTATAGGCTGTAATGAGTGCATATGAAAGCTAAGGGTAAGTGTACACGGCGCGTTGTGTCAGCGTTGCGTTGATGTAGCGCTGTCACTTCTTGACTCACTTGTTCTTACATAGTAATAACCATAGTGTACAGACGGTGCGCTGCGTTGACGTAACGCGCACACGACTGACTGAAAGCCCCCGAGACGAAGGGGAAGGGGAATTTCGTTTTTCCTTTGAGTTTATTTTACAGAGTAAAATTAATATAATTAGAGAAATTGATATGGATTACTTGCGATGACGCATCGCCACTGTGGCGAGCAGTACGTCAAAATATTTGCGTTGCGACGACGCAACGCAACGCGCCGTGTGCACTAACTCTAAAGGCATAAAACCTCTTAGCCCTCTCAGCGACAATGAGTTCTATGACTGTATGTATTTGTATATGTATATAAAATAAGTTCGCAATAAAATACGTAATTTAATTTTATATTTCAAAAGAAGCCTTAAAGTAAACTTGGTTAGCAATACAACCCATTTATTATAAGCTTACGTAAAATATGAAAACTTAACGTAAAATATAAAAAGAAAATTAATATGCAGCTACCATTTATTTTACGATTCCAGCGTATATAAAATTTGGTCGTTACTTGAACAAGACCGAGAGGCCCATTGTATATTCCTGCAGCTGGCCTTATTACATCGAGTTTATACATCATAAAAAGGTAAGTGGTAAACTTGGATATATCATGCACACATAAGGTTTAAAAAAAAAAACGTTACGATTACGATTTCCTCCTGTATCTTGTTGGCAGTTTACACACATAAATTGCACAAGACAAACATCCAGACCAGGAACAATTATTTGCAGGCCGTACAAAATACTTGTTTCGTGCGGTATTCGAACCCCTCAGCGCTGCAACAAGTGTAAGGCAAGATGGCTATTACACGCGTCATACTTGTGAACGGGTGCTGCTTGTGGGGGCTGGTGTGCTCGGGTTTAAACATTGAAGTAATATGTACTTACGTACTAGAACAGCTATCTCAAACATAAAATGTGCGCTACTCTCTGTTCGCACGGTTTTTTTTAAATCATAGAATAAACATAGGTAGAATGACCCGTAGGTAATAGTAGATTGTATTGTTAAATAGATAAATTATATCGAGAACAATATTTAAATTTTGTCATTTGTTTTGTATATTATATTTGCTTATTTAATGTAATATTACATAATATTATATCACAATTACATTTTAATGATATTTTTATCTGAATATTTTAAAAGGTATCTAATTCAAATATAAAAAAACATACTAAATAAAACTTATTAACGTAAAATTTAAATTACAAATATATTTATTTAAATTAGAATAAAAGTCGTTTATAAATACTGGGCACGCGAGAGTTAAAAATGGACGAATTTATACCACTTTGACTTTGATTAGGAAACCTAAAAATAAAATAAAAGAGTAATAAGCAGATTTAAGCATGAAAAATTTTGGCAATTTATAATAACCTATATATGATCCTACAAAAAAAAAGTGTATAATAATATATTCGTCCTATACTTAAGGTCGTCGTACTAAATGTCGCATCTGAACATTTTAATTTCATAATCTATATTCCATGACACGAGATGGCGTTATAGAAATAATTTGTTTTATTATTAATACATAATACGTTTTTATTGATCAAGTATCTTATTAACCAATAAAAAGTAATTCCTTGGTTTTTACTGACATTTCTTGAATTATTTGTGCAATATCTCGTCAGATATACACACGACGACATAGTTTTATCAAGAGATTTTTTTAAATCAACATAACACGTGACATCTCTATAAGCGCCTAGCGAGTGACTGATTAAAGTGCGGTGTATGCACCGCAGTTGAGTGGAACAGAGTAGCTGAATGCAGTGTCGCCTCTAGTACGTAGTACATAATAGTTCAATGGGTTTAAATCTTATATGGGCTTTCCTGATATTGGGAATATTTGTCACAATCGGGCTCTACACACTATTATGAAAAGTTTTAGTCCCTACTTTAACGTATGATAGTGAAAGTTGGGTGTTCTTCACCGGGTGACAAACGAGCACATGGTCCACCTGATGGTAAGTGGTTGCTGTATCCCATAGACATCCACATCTATCCTCGATTACGAATCAAAACGCAGATGCGTTGCCACCCGTGAGTACTAAGATGAATTGCCTCGTCTCCGGTTCTCTACACTCACCATACGAAACACATCAGCATCAAGCCACTATTTTACGATGGTATTCTGTGAGAGCGTGGTCCTTCTCCGGTCGGGCCGACCCGTTCGTGCTACAACTATACTACTATTAAAGCTGCAACATGCCTCAACCACATACAAAACATTAACACTAAACGTTCGAATTATAATCATTAAATTGCCAATATGACGTTGAGTGATATCCGAAGATTATCTGGCTCGCCGGATGTTTATATCAGCTGTGAACGCATGTACGGGCCCGTATGTCAATAAGTATGTTTTGAGTGGGCGGGGCTACACTAAAACAAGTGTAGTTACTGAGATGATATAGAACGTCTACGTCTGCAGACTTTGAATTTGGGCAACTTGTACCTACCAATACCAATTCACTCATAGACTCGACGACTTCCTGTTGTTCCTGAGACAAGCCGGTTTCCGAAAAGGCTTCAGTACCATAGACCACATACATGTCTTGCGGCAGATTGTACAGAAGACGGAAGAGTACAATCTACCACTTTGCCTGGCGTATGTGGACTATGAGAAAGCCTTTGATTCCGTCGAAAATTGGGCGGTGCTACAGTCTCTTCAGCGGTGCTAAGTTTACTGTCGGTATATCGAAAGGCTGAAGTGTTTGTACAGTATGGCTACGGTGGCTATTCGAGTACAGAACCAGAGTTCGAAACCTATCCAACTGCAGAGAGGTGCAGAAGGGTGACGTTATATCCCCGAAACTCTTCACCGCTGCATTGGAAGAGGTTTTCAAGCTACTGGACTGGGAAGGATACAGTATTAAAATCAATGGCGAGTACATCACTCACCTTCGATTTGCCGACGATATACGAGTAGTCCTTATGGCAGAATCGCTGGAAGACCTAAGCACTATGCTCAATGACCTCAATGGTGTCTCCCAACGGATCAAGAGGTCTTAAGATGAACATGGACAAAACAAAGATCATGTTTAATGTCCTTGTCACACCCATGCCGGTAGTTGTTGGGAGCACTATGCTCGAGACGTTTACCTGGGACAAATAGTCCGACTAGGTAAGTCCAACTTCGACCGAGAGGTCAATCGACGGATTCAACTCGGCTGGGCAGCGTTCGGGAAATTACGACACATCTTCTCGTCAGGTGTACCTCAAACTCTGAAAACTAGATTGTAGAAGCAGTGCGTGTTGCCAGTGATGACTTACGGATCTGAGACATGGTCCTTCACTGCTGGCCGTATGAGGACGCTCAAGGTCGCTCGCGAGCTATGGAGAGGGCTATGCTCGGGGTTTCTCTGTGTGATAAACTCAGAAATGAGGATATCCGCAGTCGAGCCGGAGTAACCGATATAGCCCAACGGATTAGTAAGCTGAAGTGGCAATGGGCCGGCCATATAGCTTTAAGAACCGATAACCAATGGGAAGAAAGGTTCTCGAGTGGCAGCTTTGTACCGGTAGGCGTAGTGTAGGGCGACCCCCTACTAGATGAAATGACGACCTGGTAAGACATGCAGGAAGTCGATGGATGCAGGTGGCTCAGGACCGTGCTTTGTGGCATTACTTGGGGAGACCTACGTTCAGCAGTGGACTTGTGAAAGGCTGTAATGATGATGACATAGATTACTCAACAGATTGTTCGAGAAAGGTCTAATACTGTTATTTTTTGTATGTTTACATCGGATAAGTTGCTTCTAGCTTACGTAGTTTTCGTTCTAAAACTGAAGACATTGTAACTTTTCCCTCACATTCAAAAAGTGAAGAGACGCCTGTGTCTAGCAACGGGGTTCTAACTAGCACAAGTCTTATATATAATAAGACTTGTGGCGGAAAGCCACGTATTCAGGGCTAGGAAATGGCTTAATATAGTTCGATGTGAGGCAACATTAGTCTGTAAGGAGTCGTTATGATTTGGATTAAAAGCAAAAAATAAAATAAAAATTGCTCTCATTTATTCTGTAACCTCTCCTCTTTACATGTATTAATAGGAATTGTAAAGTTCGTTTGTTCTTTTATTTATATGGATACACTTATTCATACGCTACATAAAGTCCCATAGACTACGAATATTCATTTCTTTCTTTTTAAATTATAATTAGCTTTATAGTGAAATACATTTGTCAATAATTATATCCAGTCTAGTGATTTCAAATGGTTCTATATTTGAAATTTCAAATGACACAAAACATGTTTCATAATTAGTTCCGGCTCAAACTGCAGTTCGATTATTGTCGGACATAAATTTAGATTTGCATTAATTAGTCCATGCAAATTTACGCTAAATATTTAATGAGACCTAATATTGTGTTCAACTGCCGGTTCTCCTACTATTTCAATATAAAATATATATATATATATATATATAATACAATATACCCAGCAGTGCACCTTACATCTACATTTATCCTCAATCAGAAATCAAAATGCAGATGCGTTGTAACCCCTGAGGACTAAGACGGAATGCTTCGTTCCCAGTAAAAGAATCTCCGGTCCGGTCGGGTCTACACTCATCATACGAAACACAACAGCGTTAAGCTGCTATTTTACGCTGGTATTCTGTGAGAGCGTGGTACTTCCCTGGTCGAGCCGACCTATTTGTGCTACAACCGTATTATAGCTGCAGCATGGCTTTACTGTGCCGTGGTAGCTCAGATAGTTAACGCTCGGTGTAAATATAACAGAACACGAGTAACCCGGGTTCGATCCCCGCCGGCACCAATGAAATTGTTAATTGCAATTTTAAGTGCTGATTTACCACGTGCTCGACGGTGAAGGAAAACATCATGAGGTAACCTGCATGTCTGAGGAATGAGAAAAAAATATATTTCGAAGACATGTGAAGTTCGCCAACACGCATTGGGGCAGCGCGGCGGACACTTCCTTGCCTTTAAACCCTCTAAGCAATGAGGGGAGGCCTGTGCCCAGCAGTGGGACGTATATAGACTGTAACTTTACTTACTTTGCATGGCCTTACTACGTATATAAATGTATAAAAATATATAAACACTCACGCCTGTCACCCAGAGGGGTAGGCAGAGACTACGGACTTCCATTTGGCACGATCCTGACATACCTCTTTCGCCTCCTTTACATCCATATATGTAAAGGAGGATCCATACATGCTCGTCGGTTAAGGGTACTTCTAACGTGGCCCATTATCAAAATATCGCCAATTTGGTCGATAAACTTTTTTCTAGGGCGTCCCTTCCCGACTCGGCCGTTCACATCTGCCATATAAATTTGCTTTGTCACTCTTTCCTCATTCATTCTTTCTACATGACGAAACCACCGAAGCATTCCTTTCTTAATCCTGGTCACAACATCATCTTGCATACCACATTTATCTCTTATCACGCAATTTCTCATCCTGTCATTCAAATTCAACCCTAGTATATTCCTTAAAGACCGCATTTCTACCGCATTTATTCTACTTTCGTGCTTCTTCTGCCACACCCAGCTTTCACTACCATACATTAAAGTAGGGACTAACACAGCATTATGAATTGCCTTTTTTGACACATTCTGGTTCTTCATAATAGAGTGTAGTGCCCCATTCACTCTATTCCCTTCATTTACTCGTCGTTCTATATCCCTATCATATCTACCATCCCTGCTAAATACACACAGAGCCGAGTCTATTTTTAGTAGTAGTTTAGTATATAAATAGTGAATTATTTAACTTTTGTTTGTTTAGGAATTACGTGTACTTGCTTTATAATTGATTATTTTAAACTATTGCACCCTTGATTTAATATAAAAAGCCCAGCCTTCAGCAAAAGCATTATAAACTATCCCTAGAGCTTAATTAACCTTGCTCCATTGCTAGAACACTTAAATTTATGCGGCGGATATTACGACCTCGGGAAAACGGGCGCGGTAGTAAAATTATGTAATAGAAGCTACTCTTGGTGACATAAAGATTTTTTATTTTATCTAATTTATTAAATATCATGCCAGTTTCTTCTTTTTTTTTTCGCTCCCGCAATGAGGTCATTTTCCGCCACCAGGGCGGCGCCACTATACATAAAGTAAAAAATATTTGACATATTTTGTAACGGGGAAGTTATTTTTTTTTTTTTAAGTTTAGTGATTAAAGTTTCTCTCTGAATATATACAGGGTGTAAGTCTAAACACCGTTATCCTTGAAACCAGTGGTTTGGTTTCACTTATAAAATGTAAATTCAATGAAAAATAACAACATTTTTTTTAGTAAAATCTCAATTTTTCCTTAATTCTTCAATTTTTGCCTGTCCTAAGCCAGGATGAAAGTATGTAGGAAAAGTTACATCACAGGTTATGTGTACCTATTGTGTTTTTATTGGAATGTAGTGTAGGTAGCTAGCGCAGTGATCGTTGGTCGTTAGAGCGGTGATCTTTACAGTGATTACGTCACTCGGGCGTATAGGGTATCCATGAATTTACGGATGGTGTCGGACAGAAACTTTTTGTTGAAAGAAAATAGCGTTTTTTTTTTAAATTCAGTGAATTTACGTTCTATAAGTGAAACCAAACCACTGGTTTCAAGGATAACGGTGTTTTCACTAACAACCTATATAATATTGGATTTTTTTAAATTAATTAGTATTAGGAATGGAAAAACCAAACCACGGATATATTTAAAAGTAGAAGAACTAAAAATAAAGTCGAGTCTAGATCACCTGAGGATACCTCGTGTAAAGTCGAAAAACGTGTCGTATTATCGTCGATGGTGTGTCTCCTAGTATAGTGGTGTTGGGAGTAGTGTTCCTGGGATTAGTGATGACAGGATTAGTGTTAGCTATTGAGGGAGGCTGGGAGGTGCTCTTCAAACTAAGTAAGACAAAGATTTAAATAGTTTAAGATGCGCCCTTACCATAGTATGACCACTTCGAAATGTGTCCATTCTCAAATGAGTGAGCTCACTCGTTCGCAATCAGTGCTCATTTATGCGACAGAGAAAGTAGTATACACAATTTATTTAAGATAATAAGAGATGACACTATGCAAACGAACACATCCAAAAATAATGCCACGGTTTTCAATGTGAAGGCGCATCTAACTATTTAAATCTTTGACGTAAGACACATCATTTTATTTTATTGAGCGGATGTGTGCGAATTAATTCTTAACAACTTTAATATAATGGATTTACGCAAAGTAATTAATTCTATTAATATATAAAATATTGTTGAATACAGCCCCGAGGTATTAGTTTGTGTATATTATACATATACTTAATTTTATTTAAAACGCTGCTTTTCAACGACGATGACACTGTGTCAGGTCTCCGTCACTCGCTTAAGGCCACGCGTTATATGGCTATCGTTCTGCGTATCGTCCACGATACAACCGACATTGGGCTGCCGCACGCCCGCCTGAGCGCTCGCACCATGCACGTTTCCCGTCCGTTCCCATCCGTTTGATTATCAAATAAAAATAGTTTATTTCGCAACATTAGTTTTATTACAATAATTATATAATATTATGTACAACCCTAGCGCATTCGTGCGATGACGAGCTTGCACGTGAGCCACTCGACTCGACTCTTTGTACGCGTATTTATGGTACATTTTCTTCTCGCTGCGAACAGCAGATATTATTATTAAGATTTTGTAGGCTATTATAGCGTAGGTATTTTCGCTTTTGTACGGGAATGATGTATCTGTTGGTAAACTATTTACTAATCTGTGACTGGGTGATCATCTGGGTAATGGTTCGGCTACACTATGCTCCTCGCAATGTTGCTCTCTCTGTCCACACGCTACTCTACTCGCGCGATTAATCGCGACGCTCCGCACTAGGCCGCTCGCGTTTGCAACACAATGCTTGTCAAAACTGTGGTAGCAAGTGAGCTATATGCATATTCACTATAGCTAATTATATTAATGTCATAAAAAAAGAAATATAGGTTATCGTCCTCGCCAACGGATATGGTGGATGACATTTATGTATCGCAATAGAACGATGCTTCCGTTTGATTCAAACTGCGTTTACGCGAGTATGTGACCAGTCACTCGCGCTCATATTGCCAGTCCTATGACTCGCGCCCAAAAGACCGACAAAACAGGGAGCGTTGGGCATGACGTGCAGCATGACGTGTATTATGGCCACACTACGTCTCTGCCTCCATTCCTCGCTACTTCCCATGCCACTCGACGAGTATGTGATAACAAATGATTTCACCCTTATCCCAACTTGCGTAAGATCAGACCTCGTAATGAGGTGGGTAGAATTTTAAAAAAGAACATCGTATGTATAGCCGCGAAGATTATGAAGTCTCGGCGGGCACTGTAAGTAGTATGCAATTGTAGTCTTTGAGGCACAAATCCAAGCAGCCACGTGTGCTTGAACTGTTGTTTTGTTTTTTTTTTTTAATTAAAAAAATAAGTAAAATTGTGTTTAAAAAAAATAGAATAAGTAAAAAGGTGTGTTAATTTATATGATCAGTATGTTAAAAAGTAATAAGCTAAGATCCTCTAACACTAATTAGCTAAGATCCAGATACATGTTGTCTCGAACTATCGACGGCCGTGTGTTTTTTCTAGTGCAGTGATGTTGGGAATAGTATTGATGGGAATAGTGAACGAATTGAGGAAGAGCGGGAGGTGCTCCTCAAACTAGGGTAACATATTTTGATTTTATACGCGGATCTTAATTATTAATATCTTTAAAATTATGCGTTCTCAACATAACCTAAACAATTAGGTATTATTTTTATAAGAATTATAATTAAGCCTTATTTGATACTAGGTGATGCCTGCTCGCTTCGCTTAGGCGCACGATATTATTTAATTTAGTTGAGGAACCTAGGTGTAAAATATCAACAAAATTATTTTTTGATTGGACTACGTAAAATCAGTTCTTAGAGAGCGTCTACATTGCAAATTAAATCACTATACTAATTTCAAGTCAATCGGGTGAAGAGATCTCGTGATGAGTCAATCGCAGTGGTACTACGCTTATACGTATATATATACATATACGTTTAATAGCGTTTTGGTTGTCATATTTAAAATTTTCTTATCATAGAATACTATAATACATACATAATTGAATGGGGGAATGGGCGGAGCCCGAGTAGACAATCAATCGTTTCCAATTTTCGTGTCAAGCGTCGCTGCATGCAAATTATTTAAAAAATGGCAAATTGTGCAATAATTACGTGTCGAAAGAACAGCGGGAAATGGAATTTAAATAAAGGAGACATATCCTACAACCAGTAAGTTGAAACTATTTATATTTTGTGAATATTAGAAACAAAAATAAAGAAATATTGATGTGTGAAAAACATTAATCAAAAGTTTAAAATGTGTAAATTTGCTCAGTCTGTCAATACAGCGAATCGGGTTTGTAGTACTTAGTGATAATACAACGTAATTGCTTGTATGTGTGCTCTCGGCAACACCGATCCTCGTACAAAATAAGATTGACAGCCATTCTGTTGTGTATTATAGTATTCTATGTTTCTTATTTAACCAATAATAATGGTATGCGTTTCTGTCATCACGCAGCCCTGGTCCGTATGTTCATTTTTATAAATAAAATAAAGAAGTACTACAACGTCAGTCCTTTAAAATCCTAACTAAATACAAAGGCATACACTCGTCCTAACCTATCAGTGGTAGTTTAGGTTGCAGTGGGTTTTCTAGCAAATGTTGTGATCTAGCTTCGAACTCAGGACCTACGACATGGTATCCACTACTAAGTAAATTTACTTTTATTAAATTTAAAAAGAAACGTTACCCCTTAAACTAGGATTTTTCCAGTGGTATCCTCCATATCTTCCCGTGGGTCACGTAAGAGGCGACAGAGGGAAACTAAAAATGGACATGGGCAGCACAATCTTGATAACAACTCAAAAACTTTTAAAGAAATTGTGGTTGCCAACCAGCTTGCCAAGCTGGCAACTACGGAAAAATCCCCTATAGGGGGATATCTATGAAGGAGGCTTATGTTCAGCTGTGGACTTTTATAGACTGTAATAAATGGATTAATGGATAAAAACTTGTTCCTTGTGGGATTCGAATCCGCTGCTCCTCAGTACCGCACCCAAACTTTAATCAACTGCGCTATAGAACAATTTAACTTTAAATTGAAAGGCTTACATTTATTCATTGGTTGTTTAGCCAGACTACGCGCAAATATCCTCACACTGTAACATGTGGAGGAACTTTCATGACATAAAAATTTCGTGGGAGGCGCTCAAAACCACAATTAAATTTTACAAGCACAACTACCCCGAGTTCTCAAAGTATCATGGACCAGGTCAATGGAATGACCCAGATATGGTACGTATTTTTTTTAAGTTGCTGTTTTGGCTGCTTCAGAAAGAAAGAAAGAAACCTATATTGCGAACACGCCATACGCATAAGTAGGCACTAATTACACAAATCACATAATTACACACTTTAGATAATTACACACATCAGATAGAAACTCATAATTACACATATCATACATTAACACATAATTACACACTTTGGATAGTAACACATAGTTACACACATCAGATAGTAACTCATAATTACACACATCAGAGAGTAAGTAATACATAATTACACACTTTAGATAGTAACACATTGTTGTACATATCAGTTAGTAACTCATAATTACACACTTTAGATAGTAATATCAGTAATATATTGTCTTATTTATGTTTGAGATCGCGACTGAAATTTCCAATAAAAGTGATCATGAAAGGAAATTAAGGCAACTATCTCTCCATCTCATCCCGTGTTTTATGAGGTTGGATTAAGAGGCGACTAAGAAGCCCAGAAGATCTTGTGGTTTCCAATTGCTGACGGTTTTAACCATCTAATTTTTATCACATTGTCACTTACTACAGCTCATCACAAGTCCACTGCTGAACATTGGCCTCAAAGATTGCTACAAAGTACGATTTTGATCAACCTGCATCCATCGACTATACGCGTGTTACATTAGGTCATCACTAGGTATGTCGAGTGGGGGGCCGCCCTACTCTGCGCTTGCCAATACGTGACTGCTTGATAACCTTTCTTCTCCATCAGTAGTCGGTTCTTCGAGATATCTCGGCGGCTACACAATATTTTTTTATAAAAAACGTTACCCCCACACTAGGATTTTCTCCTGTATCATGGAGGCAGTATACAAATTGAACAAAAATTCAGACCCGGGTCAATTATTTGTAGGCCATACATATACTTGTTCCGCGCGGGGATCTAACCCGCGGCCGCTACTAAATATCGAGCCACTGCGCAATGGAGCCGTCGGTTACTTCATCGTTCTTCATGAGCCCGTAAAAGTCAACCACTGTACTTGGGACATGTTTTTGATTCCCTAACTAATATGACATCAGAGCGTCAAACACCTCAACCCCCAGCCTCATTAAAATGTGGGCGTTTCACGACAAAAGTAAATAGCGTTCGCTAACAGTACGTTTGCACTGAGAAACACACAACACGTTTTGTTGATGGTGGCGTTCGCACTCACAAAAACTATGTAAAATTTCCAACAGATATCCAGACTTATCTTTCAACATGACAATATTTCTACAAATTTGTTTTCAAACATTTTGTTTCTGCAGTTAAAAATATAATATAGTTAAAATATGTAATGTACAATAAACTGTCAAACATAGATACTACAACATGTTCTTTGACTATGCAAACGCTTTTTGATACATTGACAGAAAATAGTGTCCTAAACATGTTTTTTCGTGAAAATCGCGTCAGTACAAACTCACGGTAAAGCAAATTTGTTTCAGTGCATTTTACCATCGTAGACCTCATGAACATTTGCTATCAGGTGTGGTAGAAGTGAAAAACTGGCTTTTAATACTCAAAAAATATTTTTTATATAGGTTGAGGGTGACAAACGAGCACACAGCCTACCTGATGGTAAGTGGTTGCAGTGGCCCATAGACATCTACATCTACCGTCGATTACGGATCAAAATGTAGATGCGTTGACACCAGTGAGGACTAAGATGGAAAGCTTCGTTTCCGGTCCCGGGTTATTGAGTACATTCACCATACGGAACACAGCAGCGTTGAGCTGCTATTTTACTCTTGTATTATGTGAGAGCCGTGGTAGCTCAGATGGTTAACGCTCGCTGTAAATATAACAGAACGCGAGTAACCCGGGTTTGATCCCCGCGGCACCAATGAAATTGTTAATTGCAATTACAAGTGCTGATTTACCACGTGCTCGGCGGTGAAGGAAAACATCGTGAGGAAACCCGCATGTCTGAGGAATAAGAAAAAAAAAATTCGAAGACATGTGAAGTTCGCCAACACGCATTGGGGCAGCGCGGCGGACACTTCCTTGCCCTAAAACCCTCTCAGAAATGAGGGAAGGCCTGTGCTCAGCAGTGGGACGCATATAGGCTGTAACTTTACTAGCTTTTTTATTCTGTGAGAGCGGGGTCCTTCCCCGGTCGAGCCGATCCATTCGTGCTACAACCATACTACTAATAAAGCTGCAGCATGGCTCTACCACGTAATATTAAAAACAATAAAATTATTTATTTATTAGTCGAAAAGAAAATGGACTTATACTATATATTTCAGCTCATTTTCGGAACAGGGGCACTAACAGAAGGCCAAAGTAGGGTCCATTTAGCAGTCTATGTGATGCTTTCAGCACCGTTGCTTTTGAGCTGTGACATGAATAAATTGACAGCGTATGAAAAGAAACTTTTGCTAAACATGGACCTTATTGCTGTGGGGCAAGACCCATTAGGGATTATGGCTCGGCCTTATGACGTAAGTAATATTTGAGATCTATGATAAAAATAACAAAAATATCATATTATACAGTGGATATAGTAAGCGACAGAGTGCATTAAAATAGCAAATGAGCAAAAGTATCTTCCCGATGACAACTCTAAATAATAAAAGACGCAGTTTCTGCCAACTAGTTTGAAAAGCGTGCCAACTTTGGGAAATATTTGCCCCTTGAAGTAATCGATAGTTATTTATTTATACTCTTTAATTCACACATAAAACAATAACACATACCAAACTTAAATTTATATATATATATATATATATATATATATATATATATATATATATATATATATATATATATCTGGGGGCACGAGAGTGCCCCCGCCAAGTCGAGCAAAAAAAGCGGCACGGCCGTACTATACTTTTCTCGAAGCAATTCAGGCCATTTTCAACCCCCTATAACTTCGTAGTGGATTAAACTAGAATCCTGAATTTTCAGTAACCAAGTAGGCATTATATAAACATGATATATTTCAAATTTCATCCAATTTGAACCAGTAGTTTAAGAATTATAACTAGTCAAAGTTTCTTAATTTTGTCACTCACTGACTGACCGATCATCAAAACTCTAAGACACTTCTAGCAGACATAGAAGCTTCAAATTTAGAATGCAATTAGTGTTTAGTGTATAAATCAAGGAAAATCTAAAATATTTTTTTATTTCGCTCCAGTTTTCTAGATACACCAACTGCATAAGTAACTTTGTAATCCTATATGAATATATAGAATTGCAAAGTTATATTTGCAGTAAATTAATCAGTGTACTTGTGTATGTGTACTTGTGTATGTATGTGTATAATAGGTGTAGATAGGTACGTTGTTGGTATTCAAAAAGTAGAAGGTACCGGAAAGGTAAAAAAATAGGACTATCTTATCTACAAAAAGAAATGAAATGCCATCAAAACATAACTTGTAAAAAAACCAAGTCTCGCAACTCAGTTCTTCTACCGTAAAAAGTTTTGAGATCCATGTAATAGCAAGTCGGTTAATTTATTCAGTCCCTACTTAAGGATCCTTCTGTTTTAAGTTATTACGTAATTAGCTAACCTAACAACATTTTATAGTGACCATATCAATGTTAAAAATCTTTTATGTTTTAAATATATAGATTGACTTGGCCATCGCACTAAGCAATCTAATATAATATAATATGATGTATTACTTGCACAGATTACCCCTTAAACTTGCACAAATTATTGTGAGATACATTGCGTTTTCATGCGATGGCCTAGTCAATCTATATATTTAAAACATAAAAGAGTTGCGAGGTTATTTTTACAAGTTATGTTTAGATGGCATATATATATATATATATATATATATATATATATATATATATATATATATATATATATATATATAGGTGTGCATAAATAATAAATCAACATGTGTATATTGGGTCCTTACATATGAGTTTTGAAAACAGTCATTCATTTGTTTTTTCCTCATTATTTTTTTTTGGCGTCGCTTATTACCGCCCAATGGAAAACATGAAATATCTGTATATTTACGAGTACGAGTCCTACCGTGGCACCGGTGCTGCAGAAACAGCTCGAAGGCTTAATGATGTGTACTGCGCTGGTGTCGCCAAAGAAAGCACGCTACGTTTTTGGTTTCAACATTTTCGTTCTCTAAATTTCGCCTTTCAGAACTAACCCCGTGGACGGGCGGAGACCAAAGTAGAAAATGAAGAATCAAAGGCTATTGTGGAAGCGGATCCATCACAAAGCACTGCAGAGCAGCTGCTTCGGAGTAAGTGATAAAACTGTATTAATCCACTTGAAGCAAATCGGGCAAGTAAAAAAACTTGAACGATGGGTACCTCATGAATTGAGTGAATCAAACTTGCAAATACGCGTCGACTGCTGTGTTACTTTGCCCAACCGACACAAAAATGAAGGGATTTTAAATCGAATCATTACTTGTGATGAAAAGTGGATACTGTACGATAATCGGAAGCGCTCGTCGCAATGGCTGAACCCTGCAAACCCAGCCAAATCCTGCCCTAAACAAAAATTGACTCAGAAAAAGTTACTTATGAGTGGTTAGCGCCGGTGTCATTCACTACAGCTTTCTAAAAGCTGGCTAAACGATTACAGCAGATATATATTGTCAGCAACTGCAAATCATGAAGGAAGAACTAGCTGCTAAACAACCGAGATTGGTCAATCGTTCTAGGTCACTGCTGCTTCACGACAACGCAATACTGCACACCAACAAACAACCACTAAGTTAGATGAGCTACAATTGGATTGTCTGCGACACCGTACTCCCCGGACCATGCTACAACAGATTACCAGTTTTTCCGGTATTTGGACAACTTCTTACAATAAAAAAAATTCAACTCCGATGCGGCAGTCCAAACCGCCTTCAAAGAGTTTATTGATTCTCGCCCACCCATGGTTTTTTTTTAGTAAAGGGATCAATGAACTACCTATAAGATGGCAAAAGTGCATAGATAACAACGGTGTATACATTGATTAATTAAATATATTTACAAAATAAAATTGACTTTATATTCCTCCCGTACAAAACGCCAATTTCATATGTAAGGACCTATTATTAATACATATAAGCTATATATAGTAAATTTGATAATGCCCCCATCCATTATAGCCTATAAAAGTCCACTGCTGAAGACAGGCCTCCTCCATAGATTGCCTCATAGGATATTTGCCACGCTTGGCAAGCGGGTTGGCAACCACAGTTATTTTATTAAGTATATTTAGTTATTATCAGAAAGAAGCAGATCTTCTGTTCCGGTTTCCCTCAAAGTGTGAAATTCACATACCGTATAAAACAATAAGCATCACAGAATCCTAATCTAGGACGTAGATTGAAACCTAAGTGAGTTTAGATGGAAATAGCCCACTTTGATGTTCTGCGCTCGTACGTTCGATCGTTCATCGAGTTAATGCGGTGGAATGTTCACTTTGATACTGGCAAATGTTCACATAATACTCCTGCACTGGTTCAGCATGCATTCCAGATCGACTCCTACTGCTTATGTACTATGTTTTATATTTGTTTGGCTGTATTACTATAAGCACAGAACATAACAGCCAAAACTTTTTATTAATATTTTTAATAATATTAAATCAATATACCTCGTATGTTCATAAGTCTTGAGACGATTTAAAAAAAACAAATTTCAAAAATATAATGAGCTCGTATTTAATTTCTTTCTTTAAATATTTTGAAATTGGAACTTCTGAGAATTTTTAAGCAAAAAATATTATCAGCTTTTTAGTTTTTACCGAAATAGCGGCGAGTAAAGATTTGCGTTTTACGGTGATTTCACTGATTAAGGCGGGAATGAAACCTATGGATATTTTTAATCAAATAAAACAGCTAGGAGCTTAGTAATTTTGTTTACTATACTTTTTTAAGAGAGTTACTAAGTTAAGAGATACTGGGAGACGTTATCAGTGCAAGACAGACCCAGAACTCAGCGTAAGGACGCCTGCAAACATCAAGTTAATATGCGAACATCTTCATCGAAATCCTTGCCGCACTCAGAAGAAGCTATCTTAGCTATCTATTTAGCTATCTAGCTATATATCAGACGAACATATCAAGAATATATTCAATAGGATATTGAAATATGATCTTAAAGTAAAGGCCTACAGTTGACGAAAAGTTCATTATCTCAACAATCGCCTTCGCAAATTGCGGTACGATCGCTGTCGAACGTTGTTGAAGAAATACGATGCAAAAAATTCTCTTCACAGGTGAGAAAGTGATTACTGTAAAATTTAACCGACAGAACGATAAAATTTTAATTCCCGCAGCGGTAAGAAATGTTTTTCGGACGCATCACCCTGCAAATGTTATGTTTTGGTTGGGTGTTTCTTATGAGGGGGTCACAGCACTGTACATTTGTGACCGGGGGTCAAAATTATGGCACAAAATTATCAAACAAAAATTTTGGATGCGATATTAAAACCGCTGTTCACTACCCTTTTCGATAATAAACCTTGGATTTTTCAACAAGATTCAACAACACAGCGAAGCCAAACCGATATAAAATTGGCTCAGTGAGAATTTACCAGGCTTCATCAAGTTCGGACTTAAACCCGCTGGATTACGCTTTACGGACAGAATGAATCAGGCCTGCCGCTCAACAACAAAGGAAGCGATATTAAAACCGCTGTTCACTACCCTTTTCGATAATAAACCTTGGATTTTTCAACAAGATTCAACAACATAGCGAAGCCAAACCGATATAAAATTGGCTCAGTAACCAGGCTTCATCAAGTTCTGACTTAAACCCGCTGGATTACGCTTTACGGACAGAATTGGAATTCAGGCCTGCCGAAAAACTCACCCCAACCTGGAGCCACTGAAGCGCGCCTTGGTCAGAGAATCAAAGCGAAATACCCATTGAACAAGTCCGTGCCTTCGGCATTTCGAATAATTATATTATCTTTAATATTGAGGACACATTTTGCTTATTAATTAGCATTAAATTAAATTACTTTTATTTATTACGTAATAATATTTGTTTTTATTTGTCTCAAAACTTATGAACACACAAGGTAATGTAATCGTAGTTATAATTTACGCAATTGTTACGTAAAAAACATATTTAAAATATTAGTATTAATGTAAGTTAGTATTAAGTTCTTAGGGCAGGTAAGAGTTTGCCGTCGTATCTTTTTTATAGAGTAGAGGTGACAAACGAGTAGGCAGTCAGGTAGACTGCCTGCTCGTCGATGATAAGAGGAAGCTGTGGTCCATAGATATCCATATCTATTCTCGATTAAGAATCAAAATGCACATGCGTTGTCACTTTTGACGACTAAGATAGAATGCCTCGTTTTCAGTTAAATGGGTCTCTGGTTACACATCATACGAAACAGTAGCATTAAGCTGCTATTTTACGCTGGTATTCTGTGAGAACGTGACCCTTCCCCGGTCGAGCCAACTGATTCGTGCTACAACCATAAAATAGCTGCAGAGTGACTCTACCACGTTAAAATCTCGCGTACCGATGGAAATCGAATTGGAACTACGAGTATGTTTGCTCGGGTACCGCGAAATTATAAGCGCCCCTCGCCCCTGTGAACATTGGTGCAAACTTATTATTTTTATTTCAGCTTTCTCGTTCTATAACGCTTTGGGTGAAACGACATCTCCCTATGAAGGGTGACAAATATTACTCCTTCTCTTTCGCACTAGTGAATATGGAGACTAGAGATGCAACTGTCTCCTTTACGCCCGGAGATTATGGATTAAAATCTGTTGATGGGTACTCCGTTATGGTATAGTATACTTTTATAACTTAATATTTTTCATTGTATAACTTTGACTGTGGCGTTGGTCTAGTGCTCGCGGTTGCGGATAATGAGGTCCCAACTTATCCCAGGCTGGATTAAAAATTAGTTATGAAGTTGTCATGTCAAGAAATTCTCAGTAGCAGCCTTGAATCAGAAAGTTGGCAGGCAGTCTTTCGCCTGATCTCTTTTCGGTCGTATAGGATTTCCTTCCCATTGAAGACGAGGAAAAATAATATTTTTTTTTATAGGATAGGGTGACAAACGAGCACACAGTCCACCTGATGGTAAGTGGTTGCTGTGGCCCATAGACATCTACATCTATCCTCGATTACGAATCAAAATGCAGATGCGTTGTCACCCGTGAGGACTAAGATGGAATGCCTCGTTTCCAGTAAAAAAGTTTCCGGTTCTCTACACTTACCATACGAAACACAGCAGCATTAAGCTATTATTTCACGCTGGTATTCTGTGAGAGCGTGGTCCTTCCCCGGTCGAGCCGACCCATTCGTGCTACAACTATACTACTAATATAACTGCAGCATGGCTCTACCACGTAAAATACAGCAAAACTAAAAAAAGACCAGTGTTTGAACACACACTCGTGCACTATAAGGCTGTCCTGCGCTGCCGTGACTGAAGATCATTCTGGAGTATACTTATATATTTACTTGTCTAACGTAAATGAAAACAACACCTTAACCCCTCAAGCGCCATAAAAATCCCATGCAGTCGCATGCGACTGCACCCACCCACAGCACTTAAAACCATTAAAACTTATTTAGAGACTACTTTTCTATGAAGAAGTTTAGCATTATAGAATCTATACAAAATTCTCTATCCTGTGGTTTAAACAAAAGTCAGTTTTACTTCATTACAAAAAGATTTTATTACATTTTGGTAACAAAAAAACATACCAAGCGAATGTCGGCAGCGTAAAAATCACAATTATTTCAATATATATTACTAGAAATTATTTACGGAAATAGATAAATTATATTCACGCAAAAACCTTCATTACAATTTTATAATAATACGCTAGAAAAATCCAAAAAACAAAAAAACATTCACGCGAAAATGGCGTACGAAATGAACGTAGATTATAAATAAATATTTGTAGGATAACAGTTTTTTTATTGCACTAGGGGATAGAGTATTTCTTAATTATACAATGCTAAACGTCTTCATAGAAAAATAGTCTCTATATATATATATATATATATATATATATATATATATATATATATATATATATATATATATATATATATGTTTTTATGGGTTAAAGTGCTGTGGGTGTGTGCGACCTCATGAGACCACTAGGGATTTGACGGAATATGGCCGCGAACTCATGAGACCGCTAGGGGGTTGAGAGGTTAAAAAATTTGTATAGAGATTTTAGACTTTCTCTTAGGTAATATAAGAACTGTGAATTGAACTGGGATGGATTTGCAGCATGCAAATATTGTAATTTATAATAACAAATTCAAATGTTAATGTTGAATTTTAGCACGATAATTTAATTAAATAGTTATTATTATATTCTGCGAACGGCGTAATCCCGGTCTTCCTCGCGTCGTCTAGACTGGGGCTCCGTTACGGACCGTACCGTTGAAACTAGAATCAAATGTAGAAGAAACTGCTTCTTGCTCTTTTCTCTAACTGACTTCGTCTGGTCTTTATTTAATTCATTTTATTTTATGTATTATAATAAGTAAATTAAAACAATAACATTTTAAAATTCTTTGGCGACAATCCGTATTCTGTGCGATTGTTGCACCATAGACATTGATACAGATGTTTGAAACCATTGACATTGGTAGTATGAACGTGAACAATTAATGTTGTATTATAAATTAAAAAAAATTGAACAATAGATATTAATTATAATATACGTGATGATACTTAACCCTTACTGAGAATTTAGCGAAGCAGGGTATGTCAGTGAGGGTGAGGAACAAAATACAAAAAGCCGGAATCTTGGATAACGACAGCGATAGTACGTCGCCACCTCTCAAATTAAAAAAGAGCGGGATCTTGCGATCAGCTTATGCTGCATCTAAAAATCCGAAAAGAAGCGCTAATGAAAATATATACCTACATTTGTATGTATAATATTGTTACGATGGAATAAAAAAACGTGTGCGGTTCACACGCGGTAAAAGTGAAACCTTCAGAAATTTAAGTAGACTTCGAGAGAATGAGACAAATGCAAAAATGGACCACCTGAGAAATAGAATAGAATAAATTTTATTCGATATAGATCACATGTAATTCTTATTGAAAGTCTTTTTTTTACTGCAAAATTTTTTTTTTACGTGGTAGAGCCATGCTGCAGTTATATTAGATGTATAGTTGTAGCACGAATGGGTCGGCTCGACCGGGGAAGGACCACGCTCTCACAGAATACCAGCGTGAAATGGTAGCTTAATGCTGCTGTGTTTCGTATGGTGAGTGTAGAGAACCGGCGACCCATTTTACTGGAAACGAGGCATTCCATCTTAGTCCTCACGGGTGACAACGCATCTGCATTTTGATTCGTAATCGAGGATAGATGTAGATGTCTATGGGCCACAGCAACCGCTTGCCATCGGGTGGACTGTGTGCTCGATTGTCACCCTATCCTATAAAAAAAAAAAAAAAAAAAAAAACTTTACCACTGGTTCGGAAAAAAACCTCTGTCCTGGGAAAAACCAGCAAGAAACCCAGCGGGACTTCTAAAAAAAATTAAGAATATGAATGGGTTACAAACTATATAATTTATTTTAGAAACAGCTTGGAACCGACCACCTCATTCCCAGGGGTCTATTTATATTATAATAACTCTTGTATGTACAGTTTTTGTTTAATAAAATATTCAAACTTGATAATAGAGAGACCTTGTATAGTTTTTGGGACTTTGTTCACGCACTCTTTTACGCAATAGCGTAAACATTTCCCCAAAAATAAATTACTAACTGTGGAGTCGAGAAGCCGGTATCACTAGCTTGTGTTTGTTCCTAGTGTTAACAGAGTGTACATCACTTTTTTTACTAAAAATGCCTTTATTTTTGTGAACATTTACTATATTTTCCTAAATATACTAAGAGACCAAAGTTAATATATTTATTTCTTTAAATTCTTCTCTAAGAATCTCGGTTATAGGTTGTAAATAGCTCTTATGAGGTTCACAAAACTTTCAGCAAAACTGAAATAGTTTCTACATGAGCCGCATTTTCCCATAGCGTTATATATAATAGTCTCTTTGTAGTAGTTTTTCATTTCATAGAGTTTCAAATCACAAGGACTCTTAAGAACGAAAAAAAAAAACATTTCAGTTCAAAAATATTATGATTTATTTATTTCAAATGATAAATTTCAGGACGTATTCAATGGGAAATTCTTAAAAAATGTTACATTAACCAATCGTATTACAGTCACAGTACCTTCACAAGGTGAGTCATCGATCTATTTTGTTTTTTTTATAAAACTGTAGTTCACTTGTCGAACGCAAGTAAGACGAAAGTTATGATTTTTGAAAGAGAAGAAAGTAAAACGATATGTGAAATAAGAATAGAAGGGGAGTTGGTCGAGCAAGTAAATGAGTTTGTATATTTGGTTTGCGTATTTAGCAGGGATGGGAGATATGATAGGATAAAGAACGACGAGTGAATGCAGGAAATAGAGTAACATAATAACATTCTATTGTGGAAAATCAGAATCTGTCAAAAACGGCACGTATGGCAATTCACTATGCTGTGTTAGTCCCTACTTTAGCGTATTGTAGTGAAAGTTGGATGTGGCAGAAGAAGCACGAGAGTAGAATAAACGCAGTAGAAATGCGGTCGCTAAGGGGTATGTTAGGGCTGAATCTGAGTGACAGGGTGAGAAATTGTGTAAAAAGAGAAGACTGTGGTTTGCAAGATAATTTTGTGACCAGGATTAAGGGGGAATATAACCTCAAATGGCTTTGCAAGATCCTCCGTTATACCGAAAATATTGCAGCATTAATTTTGAAATAAATATATGGTAAGTTGGAACCGGGCGGCAGGAAACAAGCTTCAGGACGTCGATAGTTTAGGTAATTTCTTTTTACAGAGTAAATAATGGTAATTTAAAAAAAAAATAAGCCCTGCTTTATAGTTAGTTCAGTTAGTATGCAAAGTTTCATGATCTTATTTAAAGTATTTTATGAATAACAGCGATTTATTGTTCAGTTTGGAGGTAACTTTGGATTTTTTTTCTATCGAGAAAATTTTACGGAATCATGTTTTCGTCTAACATAGTACTTAACATTTATCCTCAACTTTACCATATATTTATTTCAAAATTAATGCTGCAATATTTTCGGCATAACGGAGGATCTTGCTAAGCCATTTGAGGTTATATTTTTCCTTAAGAAAGGAATGCTTCGACGGTTTGGTCATGTAGAAAGAATGAATGAGGAAAGAGTGACAAAGCAAATTTATGTCGCAGAAGTGAATGGCAGAGTCAGAAAGGGACGTCCTAGGCGAAAGTTTGTAGACCAATTAGCGATATATTGAAAATAGGTCAAATTACTACTACCTTTAACCGATAATCATGTATGCGTAGGTATATGGATGTGGAGGAGGCATGAAATTTGTGTCAGGATCGTGTCAAATGGAAGTCTGTAGTTTCTGCTTACCCCTCTGGGTGACAGGCGTGAGTGTTTATGTTATATATTATGTAGTGACGAACGATCTTTCAATCCACCTGATGGTAAATGGCAACTGTGGTCTATGGACGCTTAGAGCCAACTAAAACCGTTTCAGAAATGGGAGGAGGCCTGTGCCCAACAGTGGGGCGTATATAGGTTGTAACTTTAACTTTGTTTTGTGTCTATGTATAGCAATGGTCTATTTACGAGGTTACTTTATTAGTGTCTTTATTTCAGATGTAATAATGTATACGTTGTATGCATTATAAAATTATACCGCGTTTGAGATTTTCTACTAAAAATATGAGATTGAGTACTATGTAATTAAAACAAATAAAATATTTAAAAATATAAAATAAATAAAAGTTATTAATTAATAATTGTTATTTCATTTTAAATAAACCTTAATATATCATAATAGAGTGATATATTACACCAGCGTATCGGTAAGCGGAAGTGGCAATGGGCCATAGCTCGAAAAACCGAGAATCACTGGGGAAGAAAGGTTCTCGAATGAGTCAACACTGGCAAGCGCAGTGTTGGGTGATCCCACTAGACGGAGTGAGGACCTGATGGAACCAGCGTGCAGTTGACGGATGCTGGTGGATCAGGACCGTAATTTGTGATAAACTATGTCAGTATGAAATTACAGTATCTTGAAGTCTTACAGTTGTATGCTTGGATTGGGATTTAATTTGATTAATTATAGGATCCCAAGTTGATGGTAGTACCCAGCCATATTCTCTATTGAAATTAGGATGTTTTTTTTTTAAAATTTCGATAGCCTCGCGAATCATCCTTGGGAAGAATCTGTATTCCTTAGCGAGGATTTGTAGTCCGTCAAATCTGATGTAGTGACGGGGGCGATCCCGTACGTGTTCACAGACCGCATAGGTACTCGACGCTCCGGGAAGTCTAGTAAAAACTAATTTTATTTAAATGAGTAGTGTACGCGTAAATATTAGAAATCATTATTATATCCGCACTTCGCAGTTAACTGCTACTGCTACTTTCGAAAATGTCTGTTGAAAATCGCTCAGCTCAATGACATGACCATCACGTACGCTGCTCGTAACCATACCCCGTGGAACACGTGGAAACCATTGCTGCTATCGTCAATTTACCCGATAAGCGTGACGATTAAGCAAATCCTAATAATAATAATTCTTCTCAAAACACTGGGAGGGGGTTATTCAGCATTAGACTGTTACGGTGAAGAAGATTTTGTTGACGGTTTTGAATGAGGTATTATTTCATTCCCATTTAAAAGGAATTGAAGTGTATATTTGATGATTTTTATAGAACTACACTGCAGCTGTTTTATTGTTGCAGCACAAATGGATCAGTTCGATCGGGAAAGACGCGCGCTCACAAAATACCAGCGTGAAATAGCGATATAATGCTAGTAGTTTTTTTTTAAAGATATATACTTATAGAGAACAGTGGTGTAGCGTGGTCACTCGGGGTCACTAGTCATTTTTAAGAGTAGGTATCTTAAAAGTTTTAATTTTTTTTTAAACATACACTAATATTTTCCTGTATCGTTGGGTACGCTTACGTACATAAATTTCACAATAACAAACATCCAGATCCGGAACAATTATTTGTAGACGTAACGAGTTTTACAGATTACGCACACTCTCATTGTTATTAAAAATAATTCTTATTATGTAACTAATATTAAACACAATCAAAGAACATAAAATACTTTCGTTTTTTAGTTTAAAAGTTCAAAATACAGAAGACAACAGACTTTGGCATATTATGTCAAATTTAGTTTCCAAGACGACCGTTAGGGGTGCTTCAAATTGGCACAGACATTTTGTACGGTACAGCCAGTCCAGCGTATTTGTATATATAGAGGCCAGTGCCCAGACAGCAGACTGTCTCTTAGTTTCAGGATCATAACAATAAATCCAGCTTTCGTCACCCGTAAGTATGTCGAACATGAAGCCCCATCACGTGCCACATAGTTCAAAGATTTAACGGAGGTGACTCAAATGCTATATTTGTGTCACCTCCGTTAAATCTTGGAACCATTTCACGACACCAATCAACACGATGGAGTTTTTGGGCCTCTGTCAAATTTTGAGGTATCCACTGGGCACAAAGCTTCCTGACCGCTAAATGTTCATGGAGGATTTTGTGGCACGAGCTGGAGCTTCATTGTGAAAGGCCAACCGAAGTCTATCATAACTTTCTTGTTGACTTAAATGACATCGAAAGTCATAAAACTACATTGTTTTACCTTATGCTTCAAATTTCAAATTGCTTTGCTAAAAATGTTAAATTAATTTATTATTCATGTATTACACGTGCTATCACATACACTCATACATCTGTTTACACATCACACTCAATCCTCATACTAATCTTCAAGATATATAGATATACGAGTAAGTTAACATATCAGTTTAAAATAAATTTTAACTTTGTATACTCCAGATTGAGATTTACAGCACCTTATAACTACCAACACCCTACATATTACTATATTTACACGCCTATTACATACACACTACGTATTAATTCACACTCAATACACAATCACACAAGTGCCATACATAAGAGCATCATACAGTACTATTTACATTATGTTACATTACAGTATATAATAAATAATATATTAGATTTATGGTTAATAATAAGAAATACTCAATATCATTTTGGTACTGTAACTATGATAAATTACTATGATGAGTATATAAGAGCCTGTAGCTCTCATATTAAATTGAAAATGACGTCAATACCTGCCTACACACAAAATGGATAATAAGACCTTACAAACTTTACAAGAAATAGATAGTATAGACATAGCGCGGTCTATCGAGTGTAGTAGTACTTCTGACCTAACAAAACATATTTATATTAACAAAAACGATCTTACCATTATTTCCCAGAATATTAGAAGTATTTACCATAACTTTGATGATTTTTTAATTACATATTCTAGCCTAACATTTGACACAGATATAATAATTTTAACTGAATGTCGATTAAATGTAAATAAACCTATTCCCCAACTTAATAACTATTGCTCTTATGCTACAAAATATCAGGTGAATCAAAATGATGGAGTAGTGGTTTATGTCAAAAATACGTTACAACCTAAAGTTAAGGAAATACAAATATCACAGGCTTCTTGTCTACAGCTAGATCTACTCAATAATACCATATTATGTATATATCGTTCTCCATCTAACACTAACACTGATATTTTTATTGATTCACTTGATACCCACTTAAGTACATTAAATACCCAGAATAACGTTATAATTGCAGGAGATATTAATATTAATATAAAAACAAAATCTGTAGAACTTCCTAATGAGTTTAAAAATAGAGCAAACTACCTAAATATGCTTTCAACACATGGTATACTTCCTGGACATTGTTTACCCACCAGAGAAAAAAATTGTTTGGATCATTTTATGTTAAAAATTAATAGAAAGAAAGTATCAGCTTTTATAGCAATTATACAAACATCTATCACAGATCATTTTACTACATTTTTATCATTATCTAAGTTAAAGAGCAATATAAGAATAAATAAAACAAAGAATTCTATAGATTTTGAAAAAGCACTTAAGCATCTACGTGACCAAAATTTGCAAGAATTACTGTTTTGTGAGGATCCAAATTTATTAATAAGTCAACTTATACAACGAATAACTGATTCATTGAAAACGTGTACTGAAATTAGAGTTATTCCTAGCAACAAACGGGTCATAAAACCTTGGATAACAACTGGTATTTTACGTTGCATTAAAAATCGAAATAATTTACAAAAACAAGCAAGAAAAGACCCACACGATGAAATACTTAAGATAACGTATAAAAGGTATAGGAATTACTGTAATAATCTTTTAAAACATCTAAAGCGTAAATATGAACGAGAATTACTTGCAAAATCGGTTTCAAATAATAAATTACTTTGGAAGAATATTAAAAACATAACATACTGCAATAAATCTAAGGATCAAAATACAGAGTTATTAAATATAAAATCATCACCACTGCAATCAATCAACTATATTAATGAATACTTTGTCAATATTGGTAAAAAATTAGCACAACAACTAAATTCAAGCGGCCATAACATACAACATCATAACTTGCCTACGCAGTCTAATTCCTTTGTACTATTAAATACGGACACAGGTGAGGTGGAGAGCATATTAATGAATTTAAAGACTGATAGTGCCCCTGGTTGGGACGGGATCTCCACTAGATTTTTAAAGTATGCCAAGAACGAACTGATACCAATTTTCACCCACCTCACTAACCTATGTTTTGAAAAAGGCGTTTTCCCGGAGAAACTAAAAAAATCTTCTATTGTACCAATATTTAAGGGAGGGGACAGAGGCAACATCAGTAATTATAGGCCCATATCAATATTACCAGCTATATCAAAAATACTTGAAAAATTAATTAATATTCGACTTCTTAATTATTTAAATTCTTTTAATATATTATCTCCTTATCAGTTTGGTTTTAGGCATGGCAAATCTAGTGAGGATGCAGTTGCTCGTATGACATCATTGGTGGTTGATGACTTAGATAAAGGTCAAAAATGCTTAACTGTGTACTTAGATCTCATGAAAGCGTTTGACACGGTTTCTGTCCCCCTACTCTTATATAAACTGGAAAAAGTCGGAGTAAGAGGTACTGCCCTTAAACTTTTTAGAGACTACCTCTCCAATAGAAATCAATGTGTAAAAGTTGACCAGTTTATTAGTAACGACGCAACTATATCATATGGTGTGCCACAGGGCAGTATATTGGGGCCTTCCTTGTTTCTGCTTTACATAAACGATTTGTGCAACTTAAAAATAGAAAACGCACAAATAATTTCGTATGCTGATGATACAGCAGTTATCTTTAAAGGTAAATCGTGGCAAGAAGTTAAGGAAAGGGCAGAATTTGGGATGGCCCAGGTGGCAAAATGGTTAAATTTGAATTTACTGACCCTAAATGCAGCAAAAACTAATTATATCTGTTTCAGTATATCTAAACGCACGCAACCCTCGGAAGATTTCAATATAAGGATTCATACGTGTAACAACATAAATAACTGCGCCTTTAATAATAACTGTCCATTTATAAATAAAGTAACATATACACAATATTTAGGTGTAATAATAGACCAGAAATTGTCATGGTATTCTCACATAGAACATGTATCTAACAGAATTGCTAAATTAAATTGGATATTTCGTACCTTAAGACATGTGGTGCCAAAAAAAGCGTCCACTGAACTTATGCAAAA